TTGATCTTTCTCAGCTCTTAAAGGATTTTACTCACATCTTTAGACCATGCATTCCTGAGAGTGCTCTGGTATCGTTGCTCTGAAGCCATTTTCTATGGTTCTTTTGGGTAGGATTATGTCTTCCAAAAAGATATATTGCAGCTCTAATCCCCAGTATCTGTGAATGCCACCTTATTTGGAAATAGGGTCTTTGCATGTGTAATCAAGTTAAGACGAGCTCATATTGGAGTAGGGTGAGCCTTAGTCCAGTATGGTTTCCTCACAGGAAGAAAAGAAGACAGAGACACACAGACTGAAGAATGCCTTGTGGTGACAGAAGCAGAGACTGGAGTGGTGGGAAGGCAAGCCAAGGGACACCAGTTGCCAAGAGCCAGCACTGTGGTACTTTGTTACAGCAGCCACAAGAAATGGATACAGTTACCATATGGAGAACTTGGGAATCTTCAAAACCACAGCAAGTCTCAGTTCCTCCATGTTAAACCCTGTTTCCTTCAGCTTCTCTCTGTCTTTTGGCATTTTACTGTAAGCAGCCATAAGCAAGCAGGCACTTTCAACACTTTGAGTTGATGAGGTACATTTTCTACTTTCCATGTAACTGCAGGCAAGAGTGTTGCTAAAGTTCTGCCCCTACATAGCTAGAATCTCCCTTCCTCCAGTTTCCAGTAATAATTACTCAAGTCCTGCAAGTCCTCACCCACAGCTTTAGCAAAGCTCAGAAGTCTTCTATGAACAATTTCTTCAAGGCATTTCAGGCTTCCGCTAAAATTCTTCTCAAAGCTCACCACCTAGTTTCAAGGCCACACCCACATTTTGAGTTTTTGTTTGAGTTTTGTTACATCATCACCTAGCTTGAGGTGCCCAAATCTGTGTTAGTTTACTGTGTAAACACGTTGCCCCCAGATTTAACAGATTAAAGCAAACACTCATTTTTCACACAGTTTCTGACAGTCAGGAACGCAGAAGCTGCTTAGCAGGGCAGTTGGGGTTCAGTGTAGCTGCAGGCCGCAAGTCGGCAAGCGACCCACTGCCCGGGTTTTGCAATCTCTGAGGCTCTGACCCCAGCTGATGGGTACACTTCCAGGCTCACTCATGTAGTTGTTTGTAGGAGGCTTCAGTTCCTTACTTCAGGGGCCTCTCCATAGGGCATGCTTATGACAAGGTTTCCCACACGATGGGTAATCCAAGAAAGAGAGAAAGAGCGTGCAACATGGAAGTCACCATGTTTTTTTAATCATCTCATCTCAGAGGGGACATGTTATCACTTCCGCTGTATGTCGCACAGACCAATTCTGGTACAATATGGGAAAGGACTTCACAATAGCAAGAGGTAAAGATTGCTGAGGGCTCTGTTGGAAGCTGGCTACCACAGATATCTGTTATTTGGCACGCAGAAGTTCACAGTTATGGTATAATCAATTTGGCTGTGTACTGTTTCATACTTTTGAATTTTTTTCAAAGATCAATATCACTAACTGTTATGAGGTGAATTGTGTGTACTCCAAGATTCATACTTGAAAGTCCCAATCTCCCGCACCTCAGATTGTAATCATATTCGGGAGATAAAGTCTTTAAAGAGGAGACTAAATTGAAAGGAAGCCATTAGGGTGGGGCCCTAATCCAGTCTGACTGGTATCCTTAGAAGAGGAAGAGACACCAGGCAGGGCATGCACAGAGGGAGAACCATGTGAAAAGACATTAAGAGGGCAGCCATTTGCAAGCCATGGAGAAAACCTCCGAGGAGACCAACCCTGTTGACACCTTGGTCTTGGACTTGTAGCCTCTAGAACTATGAGGAAATAAATTCCTATCATTTAAGCCCACCAATCTGTGGTATTTTGTTGTGGCAGCCCAAGCAGACTAATACACCAATCCTCTGAAAGATATCTGAAAATATCTTGCTATTGCCCAATCTGTGTGTTTTTTTTTTTAAATCATTTTTGTTCTTTTCTTTTTTTAAGATTTTTAAATTTATTTATTTGACAGATAGAGAGACAGCGAGAGAGGGAACACAAGCAGGGGGAGTGAGAGAGGGAGAAGCAGGCTTCCCGCAGAGCAAGGGAGCCCGAAGCAGGGCTCGATCCCACGACCCTGGGATCATGACCTGAGCTGAAGGCAGACGCTTAACGACTGAGCCACCCAAGCGCCCCTAAAAAAGTCATTTTTGTTCTGATTTATATAACTATATATCAATATATATACAGATTTTTTTCTATATAAAATGCATACGACTAGATTTGTTTCTAAACTGAGAGTCTATGATTTCATTAGGAGAACTGAAACTCTTTATTTTATAGGCCATTTTAAATCTAATGCTCTACATTTTAGAGGTGGAAGCTGGAGGGATTTCTGTCTCTCTAAGATGTAAATGTAGCAGAAGACACCTCTCCATGGCTTATTGTGGATTGAAGTTAGGGATCATATTGTAATGGAAAAGTTGTTTCCAAGGAATTACCAGATTAGTGCAGTTGAAGACCAAATTGTTAATCTTTCAGGGCCGGGGGAGGGGACTTGTACTTAGCCAGATTCGACAAGAGTCCAAGGGGATGTCATAATGAGCAGGACGCAGATTTTGGGTAGCAATCCTAAAGAAATTCTCAAACCAAGAAGCCCTCTTAAAACAGCCCTCCAGCCATGAGGTAGGCATATCTAAAGAAGCAGCACTGGAGAATCTCTGAGGCCTCTAAGAACAGGCTTTCTGATTTGTTCCTCGCTCTGCCTCTGATTACACAAACTTCTGGTAACTTATTTATCTCTGCTGTGTCTTCTCCAGCGATTCAGATAACAGGCATCCTGTGTTTGGTAATTTTGTTAACTTTTAGCATAATGAAATGCATTTTAACCTGTTTCTTTAATGATCAAGTCAGAACAAAACAATGTCTTTTGCCTACCCTGCAATTAAAGTAAGAAACTGAGCATGTTTTTACTCTAGCTTCTATCTTACCTTAAAATATATTATAAACCCAATCTATTATAGAACCAATGAGTCAAGTTTTTTTAATTCATCTTTTTCCCAAAAAGCATTTATAATAATTTTTTTATTTTTTAAAGATTTATTTATTTATTTGAGAGAGAGAGAGAGAGAGAGAGAATGAGTGGGGGAAAGGGCAGAGGGAGAGGGAGAGAGAATCTTAAGCAGACTCTCCATTGAGCCCAGAGCCTGACACTGGACTGGATCTCACGGTCCTGAGATCATGACCTGAGTCGAAATCAAGAGTCAGATGCTTAACCCAATGAGCCACGCAGGTGCCCCTGAACTTTGTAACCATTTTTTAAAAACACATACTTACTGGTTGGATTTAGGGGGACCACAAATCCTTTTATACCTTGACTTCCTTATGTTTGAGTTAATAGTTTTGATTTTTTAAAATGTCTTATATTTTTAAATTTTGAATAATTTTTAAGAAAGGCCAAATGAGTAAAATCGTTCCTGATTCTTAGGTATCTGAAAATATCATTCCACCACCTACACTCATGAATTAAATTTGGCTTGGAATAGTATGCTTGGATCATGAAGTTTCCCCTTTAGAGAAGGAGATACTACTCCATTTGGAGTTGGTGAATAAAGACTGAGGCTAGCCTTATTTTTTCCCCTTTATCGGTAAACTATTCTTTTGTGTCTGGGTGCTTATATGATAATCTCTTTATGCTAGATTTGCAGGCTATAGCCAAGTATGGATATTTTTTTCTATCAACATTTTGATTTTTTTATACTAAGGAAAATATTTTTCTATTATGTCTGCGATTTTTATTTCTGCTCCTCTTGTTCCAGCATTTTCAGGAAGATTTGTTACACATAGGTTGGATTTCTGCTATTTTCACTCTGTGTCTATCATCATCTCTTGCCATTTCATCTTTATCCTTTTCTTCCGCAGTCTAGGAAAGCTAGTTCACAGACTACATTTTATCCATTGTTAATTCTGCTCACTAGTGCATCTCTAGCATTTTTGCCTGTGATTACATCCTTCTCTTATTTTGACTGGCTCCATGTTTGACAAGGGCAGGTAGCTCAGAGTGACTAAACCCACTCGGATGTGCCCCTGGTGTCTGGCAGGGCCTCACCTCATACTTATACCTGAGGATGGACTGATTGGTACAACCCTGGCCCAGCCTCCAGGTAACTCATCAGTCTGGCTCTGTCCCACCAGCGTGCACTTTGACCACTTTCTGCTCCCAGAGCATTTCCTAAGAGAATACCCATCCTCATGTGCTATTCATCCTCTTCCCTTCTACTCGCTCTGTGGTTGTACTAGGAGGAGTGATCTTAGAGTCAGTATAAAAGAGATGAATTAAAGGGGGGGAGTTGCATGGGGCCCAATTCTGGGCCTCTTGCAACCTAATTCCCATGCAGAAGGGGAGCAGTGGCCTGCTTTCATGTTACAATAGCCCTGAACCCCTGAGTCTGGACAGAGAGTGGGATAAGTAAAACCTTCTCTCAGAGTCTTTTTGTCTATTCATACTGGGATTAGAAAATGAAACATATTGCCGAGGTGGGGGATGTTTTCCCACACCAGCCCCACTGGCACTTGGTAAATTTCCCTCTAGATTTCTATCAATGCTAATATAAGGTTTTATGTTTTTGCAGCATGTCATGGGTGTTTTAATAGGAAAGAGAGTGCATCTCAGGCTAATCGAATGGTTATTTTTTGTATATGCCTGATGTACCTTTTCCCCCCAAAGAACAATGTATTCATTATACACATAGATAATGATTTTTCAGTTCCAATAAGGGCTAAAAATTACTCCACTCATCAACTCCCATGGCAGCCCAATGATGGCTTGCCGGCAGAATTCTAAACGACAACACAAAGGGTTAAACAGTAGCATCAGGCCTGCAAAGCAACCAGGGCTGTCTTGTCATACAAATGCCCTGTAGGAACTCTAGCCATTTCCAGAAGCTTGTAATTACCCTGACTCATCCTCTACTACATTTAGCAGATCGTTCACCAGCAAGAATATGCCTTAAACACATGTCAAAAAGAAAAAACACAATGTATCTTTACCTTATAATAAATTCTGGCCACCAAACTCCGCTGAAGAACCCTTTCACGAAAATTCACTGCTTTCAACAGAAAGGCAAGATTATCGACTGTGTCCATGTTAAATGCCAGGAAGCTGAAGGAAAAACACAGTGACCATTATTATTATTTTGTCCTCACCAAAGAATTCCATGTGAAAAAAACAGACAGGGCCTGTTCTGTCAAAAAGAATTTTCTTCCAATAGAAAAGCAGTGTAAGTACAATTCAGCCCTTCACATCTCTCACTCACTATATTCATGCTTCCCTCACATCTCTCACTCGCTATATTCATGCTTCTTTCAGGATTTTTCTGATGAATGCTTGGCTTGAATTGATCCAATGTGGTTGTCCTTGTGGTATAAAGATAATTTGGGTTTCCTGCTTTTTTCATTTCCTATTGTATTATAGGTAGTTATTCAATATTTTATATAGTTTTTCTTCATTAAGATCTATATAATTTCCATCCACTGGGTTTATAATAATTTTCTCGACCATTGTTTGGCATTTGTTATAATAATGATTACAGATGAATATTAGTAACCAAATACATCCATCACAAAGTATTTGTCAATGAATATTATTTCTTAAATATATAATGTATCTGGACCTGTGCTTATTACTGCTGTGCCTTATTCAACAATCTCAGTAATTCTATGACGCAGATACCATAATTATTCAATGTATAGTTTGGGAAACTGGGGCTCAGCAAGTTTCAGCAACCTGCTCTAGGTCACATGGGCAGAACACGCTCAGGCTCAGCTTTTGTCTTGGGGACACCTGTATTTAAGGGAAAAGGAGCCCCAGAGGGCAATGAGAGGGCTGTGGGCAAGCGCAGGGTAGAGTGTTCTGCAGAGATAATGACTCTCTTCAGCAGGTAGTAAATTCCATCTTCCCCATCTGGCAATGAGGAAACTGAGGCATAGGGGAGTTAAGAGACTTAGGCACAAAGAGACTCAAAACACCTGAGTCTCCCTTAAAACCCTATGGGTTTTTCAATATGTGACTCTGCCTTTTGTGCTAATTTTGCACCCCTCCCACCCACCCTGCCCCATGAAACTTCCATTTAGATAGACAGCAAAGGGGTTAATTTACACTTCAGGTTTCCCATAGCTTAGCCACCCCTTTGCCCTCCCCTCGCCCCATATCCTTGGGAAGTAAGTTATCATAAAACCCAAATAACTTAGATGCTAATTAATTAAAATTAAATCCACAAGTAGCAGTTGTTGCTCAATCAGAAGCCACAAGAGAAACATTAAGAAGCAATTGATACCATGCTTCTGAGAATGCCAAGCACTGAATTAATAATTGCCCTCCATGTAGACAGGAAAGATGGGAGGTCATTTACATGCCAAGTACCAGGAAATTAAAATTATATCAGTATTTATTCTGAAGCTTTAGAAGGTTGAGCTTCTGTCCTAGTCTATTTAACACAAAGTGTAAAGAACTGTCATATTTTATTGAAAAGTATGTTTCAGTCATTCCAGAGACTGTTACTAGGAAACCTGGAGGCTGTGAATTTTGTTATTAGAAACTATCTTTTTTGGAATGTTTACTGTAGAATACTGTCCACCTGAGGTTGTGAACTTCGTGTGCTACACGAAGTGGATCTCATCCACCCACCCTATCATGAGTCACATGCCAAGCATGGCCACATCACATAGCTTTAGGAACTCACCCAGCATAGAAGACTGTGCAGATTCTCTTAAAAGTAGGAATATCGCTAAAGGCAACCTCCTTGTATTTTACAAGAAGGTCAAAATGACTCTAAATTTAAATTAAATTCAAATGCACATCATTAGTCATCAAAGAAATGTAAATGAAAACCACAGTGAGGCAGTATTATATACCCACCAAAATGACTAAAATTAAATATACTGACATCATCAAATGTTGACAAGGATACAGAGCAACCAGAATTCTCATACTTGTGGATGAGGTGTAGAATGGCAAAACCACTTTGGAAAAAGTTCTCATAGTTTCTCATAAAGCTAAAAAAAACAAATACCCTATCACCCAACAATTCTACTCTAACTATTCACCTTAGAGAAATAAAAACATATATTCACAAAAAGGCTTGTATATGAATATTCACAGTAGATCTACTTGGAAGAGTGAAACATTGAAAACATTTCAGGTGTCTCTCCATCCATAAGAAAATGGAAAGCAAATCCTAGTATATCCATAAAATAGACTACTACTCAGCAATAAAAAGGAACAAGCTAATGCACGTGATAACATGAATGAATCTCAGAAAGCATTATGCCATGTTAATAAGCCAGCTACAAAACAGTACATACGTACAGTTCCACTTATATAACATTCTAAAACAGGAAAAACTAATCTGTGGTAGAAAAGTATCAGATTAGTGACTGCATCTGCAGTGGTGGTCGCAGGAACTGACTGAAAAGGAACATAATAGAACTTTCTGGAGTGACTGATGACCTATAACTCAACAAGAGTTTCAGTTATACATGTGCACACACTTGTTAAAATTCAGTGAATGCACACTTAAGAGTTATGCATTTCATTGTATGTAAATTCTACATAAGAAGAAAAAACCTATAACCAAATTTTGAACTCTAGTTAATGATGTTCATGCTGAATTATTTAGAAGTAGGCTGATGTCCGCTGTTTACTTTGAAATGCATCAGAGAAAAAAAGATGAATTGATGGGTGTGTTGAGGAATTGATGCATGGATATATATGTGATGTAACAAGCACAGTAACAGGTTAATAGTAGAATCTAGATGGTGGGTGTATAAATGTTCACTAAAATTCCTTTAATTTTGCTCAATACTTGAAAATGTTCATAATATACTATGGCAAAACATTCAAGTATAATGCGGAATCTTCACTTTCCTCAACTCCCACAGTCTCCTAAGGATCTGTGGGTTGATGAGAGCAGCCAGAGCTCCAGTGGCAGCCCCGTGGTTGAGGGGGAGAGCAGCACTCATCAGAACAAGAAAGGACAAGATAGATGGAGCTGTTTGCAGAACCAGGTACGGCCCCGCTCAGAGCCAAGCCCTGCCTCCCTCCCCTAGTCTCGTGAAGACTTCTCAGTACCATCACCAATTCCTCCCATAGTCCACATGAAGGGGTAGTTTCTGGGTGTCTACACAAATGACAGCCTACTTGGAGGCATTTCAGGGCACCAGGAAGTTCTCAGCCCATCTTTCTTCATGCCCCCGCTTGCTCACGGGTCCTCTCATGAGTGGTCAGTAAGACTGCCATCTGACTGCTCTACTTGACTAGAAGCTCCATGGGCCTCCGAACCCACAGTGACTGCTGTGTCACCAGTGCCTAGAGAAGTGCCCCATACACTGGAAACACGTTGGATGAAAAGGTTTTTCTCAATATACATAAAAATCAGAGCAAGGTTTTGGGACTTAAGTAGACAAACACAGACAGACTGAATCAGTAAAACCTGGATGTGTGGGAGAGAGATGTGTACTGTTTTGGAGGTTAATAACAGAGACAAAAAAAAATGGACTGAACTTTCCAAATATTTACAATTGGAATACTGCCTTTGGCACATCTCAAGTCTATCCCGGAAAATTTGCTAGGAATGTAGATTTGCATATGGGTGAGGGTCTGTTTTGCTTTCAAAATGATGGAAGCAAGCCCTGCTCTGCTATCTGGAAAAGAAATGAAAGGGCAGATGATTTGCTGCCAGTTTGGGAACAAGTTTCCTGAATGGATGGAACTGATTCTGATGGGAATTGTACTGTTCTTTCAACTCCTTATATGTTGGAAATTTTTCAAACTAATAAATTGGGGGGAAAGCTAACAGTACTACACAATGCTCATTCGGGGCTAGACATATTAAAAAGATGTACTGACTTTGTACAGTGTGCAAGGACAAATTGAGACATCACAACTAATAGAGACTTAATTGAAACGGTTCTAGAATATGGGAGTTGATGTTTTCAAGCTTTAAGATAGACTGTAGTTGGGGGCGCCTGGGTGGCTCAGTCAGTTAAGCAAGCATCTGACCCTTGATTTTGGCTCAGGTCCTGATCTCAGGGTTGTGAGATCGAGCCCCACATCAGGCTAAGTGCTGGGCATGGAGCCTGCTAAGATTCTCTCTCTCCCTCTGCCTCTGCCCCTCCCTGCCTCTAAAAAAAAAAAACAGATGACTACAGTTTAAATAAACAGGAACCTGGGCAGTAGTAAAAAAAGAAAAAAAAGAAAAAAGGACTACAGATTTCCTAATTTTATTTTATGCCAACAGATACGAAAAGTCCCACACACTATTATTTATTGTGTTTCCCATGTTTTTAATCAAGATTATAAGATGACATTTTCTAATATTTCCTTGGAAATTAGTGCAACACATTTTGCTTATGGAGACCAATAATCTGCCTCCAAATAAAAATAACAATTTAAAAAATACACAAAAGTTTAAAAGCCTCAATAAACTCCTTAAAATAGAATAAAGGAAACAACATATTTATGAGCATAAATCAGTGAAGTAAAAAACAAAGATACCATAGAGAGGATCAACAAAGAGGAAAGCTGGTTGTTTAAAAAAACAAACAAAAAAAACAGACAAACATCCAGTAAGATTAAGCAATAATAAAGAAGAGAGAAAGTGCAAGAAATAAATTTAGGAATGACAAATGGGACATAACTACAGATCTAGCAGAAGTTTAAAAGATAATCAGAGCATAGTATGAGAAACCTTATACCAATAAATTCAAATCCAAATAATCAATTCCTAGAAAATATTTATGAAAACCGACACAAGAAGAGAAAGCCTAAATGGTCTTAAAACAATTAAACTACAGTTGACTCCTGAACATTGGGGGGAGGGGGCTGACTCCCGTGCAATAAAAAATCTGCATATAACTTTTGACTTCCCCAAAATTCAACTACAAATAGCCTACTTTTGACGGGAAGCTTTATCAATAACAAAAACAGTCAACACATATTGTATTCTTATAGTAGCATAAGCTACAGAAAAGAGCGTGTTATTAAGAAAATCATAAGGGAGAGAAAATACATTTACAGTATTGTACTGTGTTTATTGAAGGGAGTCCATATGTAAGTGGCCCTGTGCCGTTCAAACCCGTGTTGTCCAAGGGTCAAGTGCAATTGAATCAGTAGTTTAAATATTTCCCCAGGCCCAGATAGTTTTCAGATAACTTATCAAATTCTCCCACAAGATAAGAAACTACTCCCAAAATAGCTTTGTGAAACCAGTAAAACTTGATATAAATTGAAATCAGGGAACTACAAGAAAGGAAAACAGCAGGCCAATAAGTAAACAAAAACCCTAAAAACAACACTAGCAAGCCAAACTCAGGAAAATAGAAAAATGACAATGCAGCATAGCAAAATTGAATGCTTCTCAAGCATGCAAGAGTAGTTTAACGTTAAAAGATTTACGAGGGTTATTTATCACATGAACAAACTAAAGAAGAAATACAACATTTCAATAGAAGCAAAAAATCATTTGCAGTAAAATTCATCACCTAGTAATGACAAAAATATGTTTAAAATAACAAGTGGAGCTTCTTTAGGAAGTTAACGTGTGTCCATCAAAAACTTCAGGAAACATCATTCTTTCTTTTTTTTTTTTTGCAAACATCATTCTTAGTAGTGAAATGTTAAGCTAATTCTTTTTAAAACCAGGAATAAGACAAAAGAATACCTTCTACATGAAAAAGAATAAAAGGGAATAGCAAGTGGAAAGAAAGAAATAAAAAGTCATCATTTGCAGATGGTATGATTGTGTATGGAAAAAACACTCAAAGAATCTATAGACACAGAAGAAATTATTTTTTATGGTGAGGTTTATATACAAAAGTGAACTATATTTATAATAAACGGGCAACAACAGAAACATAATTTTTAAAAGCATTCCTTTTACAACAACAAAATCATAAAGTACCTAGAAATAAATCTATCAAAGGATATATTATGTATAGAGAAAATTCTAGATTTCTAGAAAACACTTAGATTAAAATCTTTGACACAAGCATCAATTTTATATATATGTATATATGTCAATTTTTCTGCAAATCTATAGCTTTAATACACTTTCAAAGAAAATTACAATTTTTAAAAATTGTGGTAAAATATATATAACATAAAATCTACCATTTTAACCATTTTTAAGAGTACAGTTCAATGGCATTAAGCACATTCATACTGTTGTACAACCATCACCAGCATCCACCTCCAGAACGTTTTCATCTTCCCAACCTGAAATGCTGTCCCCACTAAATAATAACACTCCCTTCTCTCCTCCTCCCACCCCCTGGTAACCATTTTCTACTTCCTGTCTCTATGAATTTGACTACCCTAGATACCTCAATAAAACCACAGTCATAGAATATTTTCCTTTTGTGTCTGCAGGGCTTTTTTTTTTTTTTTAAGAAACTTAACAAACTGATTCCAAAACTTATATGGAAGTGCAAAAGACCCAGAATAGCCAACACAACTCTGAATTACATTTTAGATATAATATAATATAATAATTATAAACCTAGTGTAATTGCAACAGTGTATTGTTGGATTAGGATACACAAACTGACTAGGAACAAAGTAACCCCAAAATAGAAAGTAATGTGAGTGCCAGGGCAAGCACTACAGATCACTAGTAAAGGACAGTCTATTCAGTAAATGGTGCTGGAACAGCTGACAATCCCTAGGGAGAAAAAAAAAATGAAATTTGATCCTTCCTCACACTACAGACAAAAATTTCTAATGGATTCAAGAACTAAATGTGAAAGGTGAAACTCTAAAACTTTAAAAAAATATATTTTTATATATAAAGTAAGTATATAATATATATATTTTATATATTTATCTTGTAGACAAGATACAGTAAGTGTGGAGTATAAAAGATTGTAAATTCCACCGTAATTTAAGAATTTATGTTAAAAGGCACCATAAAGAAAATATAAGACAAGGCACAGACTTGTAGAAGGTAGGCTGTAACATCTATAACAACAAAGGATAGAAAAAAAAAAAGCCTACAAATCAGTACGAATAAAAAAAGAAAAAGAAAAATTGGCACAACACATGGACAGGCATTTCAAATGAGAGGAAATATAAGTGGCAAATAAACTTGTGAAAGCATTTTCAACTTTAACAGTAATAAGGCAAATGCAATTTAAAGTCACAGCAAGAGATCTTTATATATATGTATATACATACATATACAGTACTGACAAAATTAAGACCGATAAAACCACGTGTTGGTGAGGATACCGGTTCCACAGGACACATGCTGCTGGTGAAGGTGTAAATTTGTACAGTGACTTCGAGAGATAATTTGTTACTATCTAGTGAAGTTGAACATTGGCGTACCCCACAACACCAAAATCTCACTCCTAGGTAATATATACAACAGCAACACACTGCAAATCACTAATGGGTCATAAAATCAGTTTAAAGGATTGAGATCAGTATTTTTAAAAAAAAACAACAATTGAAAACTATCAGAGACCATCACGAGTAATAGGCTAAGCATTGTTTCGTGAGATGTTTGCTTCAGTGGTGTCTGCTGGGTGTGTGTGGAGGGGAGGGCTCTATGGATGTGGGCGTCAGTGGTTGATGTAAAATTTATTTCTTATTCTGAGTCACAGCAACTAAAGTTGAAGGCCCTGTAGAAACTCTTAGACATATTCCCCAGAGAATGTACAAGATTTTTCATAAGAGCTCTGTGCCAAATATCAAAAACACAACCCAAATGTCCACTGATATTGGAGATTAGAATGGGTAAGTAAATTGGGGCATATACACACGATGAAATATTATGAACAAAGAGAACAGTTCTTCATCTACACATATCACAACTTAGATGAATCTTAGAAACAAAACAGAGTGACAGCAGGAAGCTACAGCATACCACATACATTACCCCTTATTTATCAAGCCTAAAGACAATACTAAAAAATCAATAAAAGCAAGCACAAGCATGGATTCTGAAGCCAAACTACCTGGGATCAAATCCTAGCTCTGCCACTTACTAGGGCATAACTTAACCTCTATGCCTCAGTCTCCTCATCTGTGAAATGGAAATAATAACCTACCTCATGGGGCTTTGGGAATTAAAATCTCTGAAGTGTTTGGAATAGGCGACACACAATGAAGAAGGGACAGGAGTAGAATAAGAACAGAATTAGCAATGTTCTGGTTCTCCAGTTGGGGGCTTGGGGGCATGAGCACCAACGCTACATAAATCATGTACTTTTTGTATATATGGAATATTTAAAATTTCAACAAGAGTGAGTTGTGCCATGACAAGGCTCCACGTGCTCAGGCCCAGTAATAAGACACTGAGGGCCAAGGATGGTGCCAGCCTAAGCAATGACGTACCTGGTTCTCAGCTTGTCACTCCCAGATTCAGCGCAGTTTCGGAGCCAGCTGAAAAGTGGCTTCTCTTTATGCTCTTTGGTGTATTGAGCCAGCAGTTCCCGCACCACAACCTGTGCAGAGAGGTTATCATTCGTCAGCCCTTTGTCAAGAATGTAAAAAAGTACTAGAGTGTCTTGAAATGCTGTAGCCAGATAAGGTCTAGTTGCTTCTAGCAAAGTCCTTGGAAGGAATCAAATATATACCCCATCCTTCCGGAGGCCTCTGTTTGCCGTGGCAAATGTGAAGTTCTTCCACTACCACTGCCAATCCCTCCCCCATGGCCAACTCAACTAACCAGCTAACTACTTACTGCTCGCTCTCTCCCACCTGAGACATCAGCCTCTAAGGCCAGTCCTGGGACCCAGTATTCTAGCTGACACTCCAAATAAAACCTACTTGCCTTCCCTGAACCAGGTAGATGGATGGTCTGTTTTCCTTTTTGCTTCTAATATTCTATGGTTGATTAGGCCTTTGGGGAACAGTATTAAATTGTATACATACAACAAGCTCCATCAATCTTCTCGTCGGCAGCTTTAGAGTTATAATTTGGCCCTAAATTACTGCATGCTTTTCTGGTTTTGTTTAAAAAAGATGTGCATGTCTAGCCTGCTACAGACAGAGGCCCAGTTGACAGTTGGCAGCAAGTGCTAGACATGTCAGTGAGACCACCTTGGACCAACCTGCCTGCCAAGCCTCTAGCTGACTGCCATGGTACGAGTGGGCCCAGGCTTGGCCAGCAGAGGGATGACCTCCTATGAGCTCAACCCAAACTGCTGACCCGCACAACCATGAGCTAACAATTGTGTGTTGTTTTAAGTTACTCCATTTTGGGGTGGTTTGTTACATAGTAATAAATAGTTGATTCAGTCACATACAAAACTAACTTTAGAATATTTCCTTCTTTGTTTCAGAAACATTGATGTTTTTATAGAGATTACATAAAATGTTATATATACTTTCAATCAACAGTATATCTTAAATGACATTTTTGGCTCACATTGCTGTCTCTCATTCTAGTTATCTGTTTAATGGCTATATAATATTTTTGTTTAGAACCATCATAGCTAATGAGACATTCCCATTCACTTAGATATTTAGCTTGTTTCCAATTTTATACTGTCATTAATTACTTTGATATCAATATATTCAGACAAATAGCATTCATTGTCCCCCCACCTCTTTTTTTTTTTTTTTTTTTTGGTTATTACCTAAGAATAAATCTCATGAACCCAACTGATGCAAAGATCCTTATAAAGGGCCACCCTGCCTATAAGAGGGATCTTGGAAACTTGTCAAGGCATATTTGCCTAGGGGAACTTTATTGGCAGTGCTGGGAAGAGCCAGTCATGCAATTCATGGGACAGTCTCAACCTGCAGAGGACTGTGCCACATCCAGTGTCCTGCCCAAATCCACGTACTCAAACCCATACAGCCAACTGATAGCCCAGAGCCTAACTCAGTTATACCAAAGCTTTCAGGTTCTTCCCATCTGAGCCTATGGAAGGCTTAAGCTCCCCTGCCCCCTAAAGTTAGAGAAGGCCATAGGACTTGCTCTAGACCAGTGACATGCAAGCTGGTGTGATGTTCCCAGTTATGACAGGTTCCTAACCCAGGACTTCAGTCTGCTGGAAGGCTGCCATGGTAATCCCATGTATAGATAAAGGCATTGTCCTCTATATTGTTATGTTTATTATAAATTCCTTTTGTTTCTTTGAAGTATTGTCTTGAATTCTTGAAATTATATCTCTAGATAAGTTCTATTATCCATGATTTCATTTCAGGATAGAAAAGGTGGTATTACAAAATATTTTTTATAAAAAAGAGGGCATTAGGTCTAGTATGTCTAAGAATCACAGTACAGGGGCGCCTTGGTGGCTCAGTCGGTTAAGCATCTGACTCTTGATTTCTGCTCAGGTCATGATCTCGGGGCTGTGGGATTGAGCCCCACATTGGTCTCTGTGCTCGGCAGGGAGCCTGCTTCTCCCTCTCTCTCTACCTCTCCCCTCCTCTGTTCTCTCTCTCAAATAAATAAATAAAATCTTAAAAAAAAAAAAAGAATGACAGTACAGTATATGGGTCAAAGGATGTGAACATTTTTAAGCCTGCTGCTATACGAAATAAGTGTAAAAATCAAAACACTCCCAGCAACGGGGGGAGATTAACTAATTTTAACTAGAATTAAAATTAAAATTATATAGCAATCAAGCTTCACTGACACATCACTAGGATTAAGATTTACACTGTTTTTGCGAATCCATTACTTTTATGATGGTTTTAACTCCACCTCCCTCTTGTTACAAGAGCAACATCATTCCAAGTATTAAAAATTCCTTCCTCTGATTTCCACTCTTCCATATCTTTACCTTTCTCTATATTTCTCCATAGTATTTATTGCTGCCTGATGATCTAGAGCAAAGCAACTTGTCTCCTGGTTTCTTGTCTTTCTACTGTCTGGCAGGTAAGCACCCGGAGGTCAGTTTGCTCATCCTTATGCCATCAGACAATGGACGACACAGAGTTGAGAGCAGAGGAGTCTTTCTTGAATGAATGAACGAATAAATAAATAAATCCCCTTCCTGTTTTTAATATTTTATCCAATCTGTTCAATTCCTTAACAATTCCTTTAGCTTTTGTCACTACTTCCACCTTTCTGATTTAAGCGACTTAAATCAGAAAAAAAAATTCACTCTAACTAGAATTAAAATTAGAATGATGTAATAATCCAATTCAGGCATTAAACTTAAGAGAAAAGACAGACAAATGGGGCTCTGGCAGATTAGTCATTCTGGATCTTTGCTCCCTTTTCTTTCCTTTTTGTTCCTTGCTCTTGGCATCTTTCCTCCTTTTCTAGGTCATAAGACAAGAAAATATCATTTTAAAAGTGAGTTTATTTCCTGCTGTTGATACTCCCTTGGTAAAAGATTAAATGATTGAAGCTATCAGCTACCATGGGGTTTGGGCATTACAGTCTCTAAACCTAATACTTTATTTGATAAATGACCAGAGAGAGACAAAGAAATCAGTCACAATCTTGACTGGGCATGAGACAAAAATGTGCTTGTTTTCACTCATAGATGTGCTCCTAAATACACGTGTGTGTGTGTGTGTACATATACATATATCAATTTTTTAACTTGCTATTTTAAAATAATTATAGACCCACAAAAAGTTGAAAACCTAAAATAGTACAGAGAGGTTTTCCTAGTCATCACCCAGATTCCCCCCAGAGTGATATCTTACACAGCAATAGTGATTACCCAAATCAGGAAATTCAATACAATTTTACTTGTAATAGAGGTTTCATTTGAAAATGAACCCAGTAGTAGATCATTTTGTAAAGTGAAAGAAATATTATCTTTTTGCAATACAAGTGATTAAATCCTTATCTAAGTCTGGTGTTTTGAATACTCACACGAGATTTTCTTAAGACAACTTGTGATGATATTTCTTTCTAGGTGACTGTTTTCTTTTTTTTTTTTT